TACTGTGCATGCCAGACCTCCAGTGCACGCCGGCCGCTCCAGACTCAGGGAGAAAAGGAAGGGTTTTGCAAAAGCCTATGTCTACTAACTTCGTAGCAGCCCCATACATTTGTGCAACCTCGCTGCAGTCACGGACCATTCGTCATGGAATGGTGGCCCTTAGGAATGCAAAAGACAGAAGCCTTCACAGAGCTTCGTGGAAGGTATTTTGGATGTATCAACTTCGTAGAAACAGTTTTGGCTGACGCCCTTTCCGTACACACCCTTTTTATTCTTTGTGCCTTTGCTCAAGAATCCAAGGCTGGGGAAAACGAGAGCGCTGCAGCCACTAGCGCTGACCCGGCTGCCTCGGGCGGAGCAACTGGTGGAGCGGCCGAGGAAGCTCGGACGGACCATTCGTCGTGGAATGGTGGCCCTTCAAGAAACCTAACCGTGCAAAAGACAGAAACCTTCGCAGAGCTTTGTGGAAGGGTTTGTTGATGCACGAACTTCGTAGAAGCATACCTTCCATTTTGCCACTCATTTTGCATTTACTCAAGAATCCAAGGCTGGGGAAGACGAGGGCGCTGCGGCCACTAGCGCTGACGCGGCGGCCTCGGGTGGAGCAACTGGTGGAGACTCTGGTGGAGCAGCCAACGAAGCTCGGACGGACCATTCGTCGTGGAATGGTGGCCCTTTAGGAAACCTAACCGTGCAAAAGACAGAAGCCTTCGCAGAGCCTTGTGGAAGGTATTTTTGATGTACTAACTTCGTAGATGCAGTTTTGGCTGACACCCTTTCCGTACACACCCTCCATTTTTATTGCTTCACTAGAGAATCCAAGGCCGAGATGGCCGGGGAAGCGAACACTGGTGGCACCAGCGCTCGCCCGGTTGCTGTGGGTGGAGCAACTGGTGGAGCGGCCAACGAAGCTCGGATGGGACATGGGCCGCCCATTTAGGAAGAACCATCCACTTGACCATACCAATTGGTCCGAGTCTTTTTGAGATGAAAGGGTTTACACACACATTGAACTACACATTGACATCATTGAGGGCAAATTTTTCTTACATGGGCTTAGTCAACTTTACGAAGACACTTTGCACGGGGTGTGACTGGTGTTTTGAGATGTTTTTTTCGACTTCTTTTTAGTTGCTGTTGGCAACTACTTAGCCTTCTTTGCTAAGCCACATCCACTTTTAGAAGAAACATGAAGAAACCACACCCCGGAAGATTAACATGGAACCTGAAAACCACTGGTTTGTAGAGGAAAGTAGTCTTCCAATGGGTAATTTTCAGGTTCCATTTTAATCTTCCGGGGGGTCGTAACTTCAGATTCCTGAAATGTCGAAGCCATCAAAAATCTGCCTAGGAAGATGCCGCGAGCAACGAGACAGACGACGCGGCCGACGAAGCTCGGACAGAACCTTTTTTTCGCTCAGCATTGTAGAGTCTGAGGAGTCCGAGGTGTTTGATCCAGACGATGACGAAGAAGAGCCCGAGGGCTGCACCTCCTTTCTTTTTGCCGACCTTTCTTTTTGCTTCTCTGCGCTCTGCTTCCTCTTTTCAAGCAATGGGTGGACATGGGTGAGGAGGTTTTGTTCTTTTGCAACTGAAGTCCGCGCTCGTACTTTTACAAGTGGCTTTCGTATTGGGTGCAGAAGGCATCACATTTGAGGGTTGGGCCAGTCACCAAGGTATCGATGGGGTATCGATAGGGGTATCGATTGGTTTCTCATTTGTCCCGCTCCCCTGAATGATAACCAAATAATACACCCTATGGGCCTCAAACCCACGACCACAAGGTTAAGAGCCTTGCGCTCTACCGACTGAGCTAGCCAGTCATGCAGCTGTTCAGCTCTTTGGGTTCACTTACAGTACAAATGACAGACAGGTCTCACCACGACACTGCCCTGCTCCACCCCTTCCTAGAACAGCCACCACCTTGCAAACACAAAACACTGGAAACCGATGGGGAACTTACAAAATCAGCACGAAAATGCACGAGAACATAGAATTAATTTTGACGCTGACACATATCACTTCTACTATCACTTCTTAGCTCTGTTTAATCGATAGCGGCTTCTACAAAAAATTGTGCCACTCCGTTCCAGGAGGCGTGGAGGCCTGCGTGGAGGCGGGCAACACAACAGCATATGGCCGACTATATGGCCGAGCAGCCGGCAAACGACCCAGCAGAGCGCGAGGCGCGACCGCGATTGGCAAGCACCACTACCCGGAACCTCATGATGGTTGCTGGCAACGCAGTGGAGCGGACGCGCCGACAGGATGCCTGCACCCCGTTCAGTTTGCGGTCGTGCATGGAAGACGCAGCCGAACACCACTTCGGCGACATAAAGCGACTTGCAGCGGTCACCACTTGCAAGACAGCGGTCTTGGCCACGCATCGCAAGCATTTGATGCAGTGGCGGAAGGGTGAGGTGGAAAAAGATGAGCAGTCTACTTTCCTGCCAGACCAGTCAACTAGAAGTGTGAGTGACATTGCGGGGCAAGCGCTCCGTGCCGCCCTTCTCCATGGAGCACGCAAAGAATTTTCGTGGGAGCCGTGTGGAGCACATCTGCATGGAATCCGTCCTTTGTTTATGCCGAAGCTGTATTGGGTGCCACAGGAAAAGGCGAAGCCTCTTCTTGGAATCAATTCGTTTCCGAACAACAAGGCCGGCCATGATCAGATTGAAGCCTACATGCAGGACTTTACGTTGGCTGCTCGTGTCGGATGGGTTAAGCCGCTAGGACAATCAGATCGGAAGATCGAAGGCTGTGCCACTTTATCACAGGTCTAGTTTCCAAAGTGCGTTTTCTTTTTCCAGAATGGAACATCTAAGAGCAGCATGTGAGAAGCTGGTTGGGATTGGACTGGATTTATGCACGGGGTGTAGACGATTTTCTCAGCTACCATCATCCCTGTGGGTGGCAAACCTTTCTTTAGGAGCTCCGGAAGCTCTTTGAGAAGGCTTCACAGAAGGAGTTGGTGAGCCAGGATGGCAAGATCTGCGTGTACATGTTTGGCATTTTCTCCAAGAAACACGCGTTCCCTGGTTGCAGCCCAAAATGCGATTCCTGATCGATTGGATCCCTGTGAATTTAAGTTAGGAATTGCGCAGGGGCCCAATTGACCATGCATGCCCAGAAATACAGGGTTTACAAAAAGACATCACAGATGCCATACCCAAGGCCTGTGTGGCAAGAGCTCGTGGCACGCACGCCAAGCTACTTTCAGAAGTACTTCGCGGGGAAGTCAATGTCCGAGAAGCCGCTTTCTTCTAACTTTAGCTTGTCTGCATGTGTATGAGAAGCTGAGAGAGGTGGCCACTAGCATGGCGCCACCGCTCTCTCCGGCCGAAGCAAATGCAGGCTGCAAGCGCTTCTTAGCGTTTTTACGCACAGTTGACCAAAATGCATATGCGCTTACGCCTATGAGCTGAGCTGTGCAGCATCATTTGCAAGCCAGCCGAAGCATCATTTCCAAAGCCAAAGTGTGTAGCAACACCCCCATTGGCCTTTCCTTAGAGTTGGCGTTGGCTTGTTGGTAGTCATTTTGGGAAGCCTGAAGCTTCCAAGCTTGAGCCTGAAGGTGAAGGGTGCGTTTCGACCTTCAGCTGGTAAAATGGTGCTTTGCGGTATTTGCAGATTGTCAGTTTCTGATTCACGGCAGAGCTGTCCTAGTAGGTGTCTTGTTGACTTGCGGTGTTGCGGCCTTTGCTGATTGCGCAATGAAACTCCCAAGTAGACCCCCAACGAAGGTCCCGCATCTTCGTGCTGTTTCTGGCCTCTGCTACCAGGGTTGGGTCTGCAACTTACAGTTGCCAAATCCAGCCCGGACCTAAGGCAGAATTATGTATACTTACGCGCGTTTGAGTATCGTTTGGGCATGCGACTGGGAGAGAGATTGGACCGCCCTTTTGCCAGTGGAGTGGATGATATAAGTGGGAGAGCTCTTCACCTTTTATCTTTGGATCTCTCAGGCTTCAGGCGATGGGTATAAGAACTTGATCGGTTGTTGCCGGAAGCCTAGCTGATGGGATGGTGCAAAGCAGTGTGGAAGTTGGGCGGATGGAAGCCATGGGAAATTGGCTTTGTGGTGTCCATAGCAAACCTTTGCACGCTGCCCATTACTTTCACAATATTGGAGCCCAAGTTCTGCAGCATTGGTTGCCACATGATTCAAATGGT